ACCCACCTAACTACTAACTTACCGGCGTGTGGCTTAAGTACGGCTGAGCGGACGGGAAGCCCTGTTCTCCACACCCTGTGGTCGTATGTACCGGTTTTCTCATTAAATAAACTTATATAGGAACAGACTGGCTTATGTCCAATGAATTAACAAACTGACCAGCTAGTCATGCAGAGCCTCACTTTAACGTGTTGTTTTACGCAACTGGTTCGGTCCGGATAGCAAGACCAAGCAAGACCCTTTTGATCACCTAGCAACTGTAGTTTGAAAAAGCGGACACTAGGTACGGGCGTCGCAAGGTTGGATGGGGTGATCAAGATATATAATACAAGTCTACCGAGATAACATGAATCGATGTAACTTGCCGATGGAATTTTTGTTATGTCTTTTGTTTCTAACTATTCAACTGCTGCAATGTTCAATCGCCATCGAATCAAGGATATCTCAAAACTAAGGGATTCAAAATAACTATGCTATCTATTTCCGGTCGATCGCTTCTCTCCAGATTCCGAAACGCCTAAGAGCCCGATAACCATCCCACCACTTTTTTGAACAGTGGAACGAGTTTTGATTCAATTTGTTCCAGGAACGACAACCACGGACCATGTATTTGGCTTTCTGTGACCAAGCGGTTCGTCGATATACACGGACGAATTGCCAAAAGGCTCTGGGATATGCGCCTTAGCAGATGGGTGGTGAGTGCTTTCAAACACAGAAACTTCGAAAGCAGGTACAACTCCTTGATTTCACATCTTTTCTGAGAAGCTCATCGGGGCTTCGAAATACACTAGTGTAGTGTTCCTAGTTCCAAGCTACAGTCATAGGCCGTAAGTCCTTTCACATCCCCACTTGTATATAACCTACATGGGTAACTGACTACGTTTGAACAACTACAATTGCAGGGACTCGAGAAAGGGCATATATACATGAGCTGAATCCGTTTAACTTACAACTACGAAGCAGACAAACCTAAGGACATATATCGTGGTATTATATGGGAACTATGTTCAGGCCGATCGAAGCCATTGGAATAGAAGATAAAATATAAATGAGTCTGGGATATCTGACAAAGAAGGGAAACAAATATGGACGTCAACAGTGGTTGACAACAACGTCATGATACCAACTGCCAGAAACAGATGCAACTACTGCGAGAACATAAACAGGATCTAGCCTAACATTTAGAACTGCATAGCAGCGGCGAAGAGGGCACCGAAGACAACAGCGAGACCGGAAACGGTGGTGCGGCCAGCAGCGTTGAAGGGAACGGTGCTGGAGGAGGGGGTGGCAACGCTTCCAGTGGAGGAGGTACCGGCGCTAGAAACAGGGGCAGAGGTGTGGGCAACGAAGCCGCTGGAGGCGGGCTTGGTGGCGGGCTTGGTGGCCGCGAGAGACAGGGAAGAGGAGCAGGCGGCGTTGCAGACCTTGACAGTGCTGGTCACGTACGGGGTGGACAGAGAGGAGGCGGGGGCAGTGGGGTGGGGCACGCCGGAGGAGACGGGGGACCAGCCGGAGGGACCAGCAGAGCCGGAGGGAGCAGAGCCGGAGGGAGCGGGGATCACAGTGCTGGAGACCTCAGCGCTAGTGATGGTGTCACAGGGAGTAGAGGAAGCACCGGAGGGAGCAACACCGGAAGGACCAGCGGGACCGGAGGGAGCAGTCACGGAGGAAGCAGCACCGGAAGGAGCAGAGCCGGAGGGAGCGGGGGCACCGGGGATCACAGTGCTGGAGACCTCCTCGCTGGTGATGGTCTCACAGGGGGTGGAGGAAGCACCGGAGGGAGCAACACCGGAAGGACCAGCGGGGCCGGAGGGAGCAGTAACGGAGGGAGCAGCACCGGAAGGAGCAGAGCCGGAGGGAGCTGAGGCACCGGGGATCACAGTGCTGGAGACCTCCTCGCTGGTGATGGTCTCACAGGGGGTGGAGGAAGCACCGGAGGGAGCAACACCGGAAGGACCAGCGGGGCCGGAAGGAGCAGAGCCGGAGGGAGCTGAGGCACCGGGGATCACAGTGCTGGAGATCTCCTCGCTGGTGATGGTGTCACAGGGGGTAGTAGAGGCAGCGGAAGGAGCAACGGCGGAGGGAGTCTCAGAAGCGCCGGGGATGACAGTGCTGCCGACGTGCTCGCTGGTGATGGTGTCACAGGGGGTGGAGGAAGCAGCAGTAGGAGCAACGGCGGAGGGAGTCTCAGAAGCGCCGGGGATGACAGTGCTGCCGATGTGCTCGCTGGTGATGGTGTCACAGGGGGTGGAGGAAGCAGCGGGAGCGGTGGTGGTGGCGGAGCCCTGGTTGCACTCAGCCTCGCCGAGGACGGCCAGACACAGGTCGAGAGGGATGTTGATGAGACCACCGTTGGAGCTGGAGCTCTGCTGGCATTCAGCCTCGCCGAGGACAGCAGCGCAGACGTTGACAGGGACGTTGATCAGACCACCGCCGTTGCCACCGTTGCCGGCGGAAGAGACCTGGTCACACTTGGCCTTACCGAGAGCAGCAACACAGGCGTTGACGGGGACGTTGATCAAACCACCGGAGGCGGAGGAGCTCTTCTGCTTGCACTCAGCCTCGCCAAGGACACCGGCACAGAGACCAACGGGAATGTTGATCAAGCTACCGGAAGAGCCAGTGGGAGAATCACCGGAGGAAGATCCAGAGGAGGAGTCGTTCTCCTGCTGGCAGTCAGCCTCGCCGAGGACGGCCAGGCAGAGGTTGACAGGGATGTTGATAAGACCACCGTTGGAGTCGGACTTCTGCTGGCAGTGAGTCTCGCCGAGGACAGCGAGGCAGACGTTGATGGGGACGTTGATCAGAGAACCCTCATCGCTGCTGCTGGCGGAGGAGACCTGGTCACACTTGGCCTTACCAAGAGCACCAATACAGGCGTTGACGGGGACGTTGATCAAGCCGCCGTTGGAGCTCTGCTGCTTGCACTCAGCCTCGCCGAGGATACCAGCACAGAGACCAACGGGGACGCTGATCAAGCTCTCAGTGGCTTGAACGCCCTATAGTACATGATATGTTAGTCCCACATCCATCCACACCTATCAGGGTCTCGGCTTACAGAGGAGGCCGCAAGGGCGACGAGGGAAGTAATAAGAGACTGCTTCATCGTGTATAAAAAAACGTAGATATCCGAGGATTCTTAAAAGAGTGGCGTAACACAAATGTTAAAGAATGGACGCTGTAAACAGCAAAAAGAGAGGCAGGTGAAAGAATCACAACAGATTGAAACAGATACAATGCACAGAAGACAAGAAAAACCAGAGGATGGTGATCGCCTTATAGGTGCCGGACGCAACACAACAGCCCGTCCACAGCAAGCACGAAAAGGGGATATGTCGATCAGAACCAAAAGGGTCTGCCAAGTTTAGCAAGCCAAGTAGCAAAAGGTCGCTTCACAGCGACTAAACAGGTCCAATTTCCTTTTTTGCACGGATTCTCATTGGTGAATGGGCCGCTAGGACGGATCACAAGTGCAGCTTTCTTTGAAGATGATAATTAAACCCAGTATAGCGTTAAACTCCACATCCTGAGCCGCTAGTTCCAGTGGCGTTGTTGTGATTGCTCATAGGCGTCGTTTAGTTCGACTAGTTCCCCCACACCGCCCCTCCCCGATCGTTGATGAGTTTTCCGCTCTCAGGGGTTCGGCATGGCTTGTGTGTGCACCTTTACGCGTATTATCGGATCTTCATTTTGACCATTTAAGCATTGAATTCTCTACGATTTTGTGGCCGTCATTTCGGACGCTTCTTGGCTCCAAACCGGATTTAGTTCATACATATACTCCGTCCCCCTAACAAACATAAGCATTTATGCTTATGTTCCATTTCCTATGCCGTTACAAATACGAATCTGACTTGGTATGTCTCCAGTTTTCCTGGCATAAGCCCCCCATGCAGGCGGAATAGACCGGTTCCCATTCTCAGTACCTTCACAGGTATTCCGGCCTAAAACCCCTGCTTCTGCCTCGGCTGTGCCTGCATTTCTATCCAGACCGACTCCTGGTCACGCACGTTGCGCCTCGTCTCTGTGCGAACCATTGATTTCCGCCATCCATGCAGGTACATGCAGGTACCAGGAGACGCTAGCGCAAAAATTCGACGCTTTGCTGCATCTCAAAGAATCGACGTATCATTGCCCAGGCACCAAAATTAAGGAACCGAACCACATTCTAGGCTCGCCCATAGCTTGCAGTCAAGGGGATGTCCATCACGCGCCTCACGAACCCCAGGGACCTGTCTACCTGTTTGTGCGCCACTACACTTAAATTGCAGACCCCACCGCCCCCTTTCGATTCTGCATTGGCCCACATAGTCCATCAAGTGGACGGCTCTCGATAAGCGAGATCTAGTCAGACCACCCCTCGGTTCATTGCGACAGCGACGAGTCTGATATGCATTTTGCTCTGCATTTATCAACTGCATGTTTCTCTTTGTCGGCTTTTTCAAGCATCCGGGGGGCCGAGGCCCACAACGCCACGCCGCTCGGCCTTGTGAACCTGTCATTTCTTTGTGCCTGTGCACGTACATATTGGTCTGCGACCGAGGCATCAGATCTCCCTGCAGACGAACTATTATTGAAGGTCGGCCGTAGAATGCCTGCGTATAGAAACGTCTAGCTCTCCACTAGTGATCTAGTCGTGCCTGCAGATCCGGAAGCTGTGACCGTAGTTAATCAGATCATATCCTTCAGTAGTTTAAGTTTCATCAATGTGATACATCACGATCGTCCGAGCCCCAATCAATAATCACTACAATAGAATCTTTCCGGAGACCACTAGCTCAGAATTTGGAGAAAGCGCGGATAAAGCCTCTGTCTGTGCACAATTTCCATGAGTGATTTGACTCCTTGTCTCATGATTCCGACCGATGGTACCTATTTTTATAAATGTATCTCATGCAAGGGCGAGCAGCCAAACCTAGATATCCGTCTAATGTTGGTTCAGTCAACTCATTTGCTTCGTCCAGTTCGGAAAACGGTCCCAGTTCTGAAAAACTTCAGCGCTGAACATTTCTTAAATCGAAAATTCTCGATCAGGGACAGAGTTTTCATCTGAGAGGTATATATATAACAAAGTGCCGAAGATCAGGTAAAGCCGAGCTAGCAGGTGCGGTGATTTCCAATCCGCTCCCCTGAGACAAGGTGAGCTTTCCAGGGTAACTGCCATATTGTCGATGCTGAATGCTACCAGTCTAGAGCTCTAATACCCAGGTTGCTCCACTGACAGCATAGATATAACCTTATTATCCTTCCGTTGGGTGGTAGAATAGATGTTCAACGACTACATCGACCGGTACCTCATCAAAACGGACGTCTTTCCGGCTCGGGAGCCGTTGTTTCAATAGCAAATTGCCAAGACGGAATCATTGCTTATTATCAGAATTGCTAGCAGATCACTAGGGTTTGCTAGTTCTCTGGGGTCCTTTAAGCTCCATAGTTTGCTGTCTCTCGCTTTAGAATCTCAGCTCTTTCCATTACGTTAGCGCGCTCGTTAACTGCTCCTATCGACGATAACGATTTCCACTGTGGGGAATATTGAGAATCATTGTAGCCTAATGAACTATTCAGATCCGACTCAGTAACTTTGAATATCCTACGATGAGGCCACACCCGTCGCCGCATCATCTTTCATTACTAGATACATATTTGTATATCTTGTTTCATTGTTGAAGACTCTATTGGACTGAAGCACAAGATCTTGTCGCTGCTTTGATTGTGGAATAACTGTCCAATACTTCATTAGTGGCACTGTGTACATATTTATACCCCCTATTGTAGTTGATATAAATATGCAGAGCCTTAGAGCACACGCATAATGTAGGTCCTTTGAATCAACTGAGGACAAACATTTGAATTCGATTGTCAAGATGGTATGACACCACGGACGTTGTGGTATATCTGAGCACTTATACTCAACGACGTTGCTTGTCTGGCATTATGCAACCATCATCTGTTATCTTGCTTCGCTGGGACTGCTTTCCTCAACCAGTCGCACCCGAAATCCCAGTGATGACGCACGCTATCGCGGCTTTCTTGCGACCTAACGCAATACTATCTTTGCTCCATCTGCCTCCGAATTCATTTATGGGAAAAGACTGAGTTACCAAAAGCTGAGCTACTAGGAACTTCAATCGGCAAGCATTTCGAAGATCTTGGATGGTAAAGATTGGTATCTTCAAAGAACTCTGCCACTCTTTCATTACCCATCATACACCAGTCACGACTTTCATTTCATTCGTCTTCAGCTTGTCATGGGAAGGGTTTACCATGGACCTGGGTTTGGAATCACCATCGACTCGTTGCTCTATACAGAGATAGGAACCAAGCATATCACATTTGCCAACGCTCCATCCGAAGAAACGGCCAAAAAGAAGCTATAATGACCATTATTCTCCGCTGAAGGTCGAATTTGCTATATGCCTCCGGGCTTGCGCATGCGGACCCAAGAGCTAGCGGTAGTAGCACGACAGAACATGCCACAGATGCGGGCATTCCCCAAAAGTGGATTTATGAGCATCTATAAGCATATTGGCACTCGTCAGTTGGGCTTTACTGACATCACTAATATCCCAGGAGAAAGGTTCTTTTCACCTGTCTTCCTAGGCAGGGCCCTTCCGGGTGTGGCACCGTTTTTCCTGTACCGAGAATCTTAGCTGTGATCTAATCCATGCGTGGGGTCATTTCTCCCTGATGCTGGACTGGGCTTCTACCGAACGGCACCACGACATGTCTGATCTCTTGGACTTGGGCATATGGAGCTTATGCAAAATCCGCACAGCGGGTTGGCCTAGAGCTGACCTTGACAGGGTTGACAAGCGCTTTGGGCAGCAGGGCCACAGATAACAATGAGCCCCATTTTTTCAGGCTGGAGCTTTGTTCTAGGTGGCTGACGGGTATTGGGATGATAGGTAACTAGCAACGGATTAGCTCACGCTTGTTCGGGGACTATAATACCAGCGGTAACAGAATCACACACCAGGCAATTGAATTGATTTAGCGTAATTGTTGAAGTTCACATTGAAAATTTATTGGAAAGAGAAAGAAAAAATCCTCAAGCACTCTGCGGCATTATGGACATCCATAAAGCGCTTTCCGAGATCTCATCCAATGCATAAGTTCAGGAGAGCCCTTAGTTCGTCCCCTAGGTTTCGGCCGAAACACAAGCCCTTTCTTCAATTCTTCGTGATTGAAGCTTCTGGTGTGCACACGATACATGTCATTCGCTTCAAAGCTTGTCCAACGCGGTGGCTTATCTGTGTCCCAAATTGGGTGCAGACTCACCATGCCGTCGATTTCCTGCTCGCCATGCTCTTCATCTTGCTTTTCATCATTCGAATTGGGCCGCCTCGGTGCAAATTTTGGATACGGCATATGTTTTCCAAACAAGTTCCCGAGGTTGAGGTTCTCTAGCTTTGGCATCGACTGGCTTAGATGAGAAAAGATCGGGGTCCAAGACCCAGCGGTCAAAGAACACTCGTGCAATGTGAGAGAGCGGAGATCGGGATGCTTTCGGAGAAATAGCAGAAACGAATCCCCTTTTGCCAGGAATCCAGAAAGTGCACATTTTTCCAGTCTTGGGAAGTAGGTTTCATTGGCGATACTTTCAATTATCCGGTCGTAGCTGTCCAAGCTCCCGTCGACCAGGGTCTGGCGGAAAGATAAATCCAGCTCTCTAAGGGCTGATGCAGACTTGAGTAGGGATGTAATTCCCTGTGTTTCATCAGCTAGCACCGCACGAGGATCATCGCGTGATAAATGTCCCGTCGAGTAGCCAAATGTTCTGCGAGATGCTTCGTCGTATTCACTTAGTTTGTCTTCATCTGATTCGACAATTTCAAGCTCATTTTGTATCTCAGCAGACATACTGAGCTTGAGTGATTCCAGGCCTTTGCTTAGTATCCCTAGCTGCTTTGGGCTGAGACCTGATGCATAGGAAGTGATGTGACCAGATGAAATGCAGCATCTGGGAGTATTGCGATATACATCGAGTTTCTTCACCGAGGCCCCGCTCTTCACTATGGCTGTCACAACCAAAGAGAATACATGTGACGCTCGCATCCAGAGCGGATGCCACTTCCCATGCCCGGCCGATCCTCGCTGCGAACGTCCCATGATGACCGCACCATCTAAGTGGATAAAATCCAACTCGCCAAACCCTTTGAGCGCAAGTTGAAGAAGTTCAATCATCTCGCTCGACGACTCATTGGATCTTAGTTCTTGCTGTTCTTTTAACCAGTTCAACTCGGATTTAGCGTTCAAGAGTTCCTCGGGGGAATATGCGACATCAGTTGCTGTAAAAAAAGGCCCATGGCATTCCCGCACAATGTATTTTCCAGATTCCACGTTCTTCTCTAATTCGGAAGAGTCCAGGCTCGTGGCCAGAAAGGTCAGAGAATAGACCATCTTGCTGATGGCAGGATTGCAAGCCAAGGCATGAAGAGAGCGAAGATTCTGCGGCGATACATCGAAAGTTGGTTGTTGAATGGAGCCTAAGAACCGGGGCCCGATGCACTTTTCTGCGAGCTTTCGGTCTGTCAGACGAAGAGCCTTGACCGTGTCGAGATCCAGATATGTGAGGATTATCTCGAAGACTTCAGCAGGCAGTGTGGTCCAGCCCATGATGGGGGATGAATTTCGCTCTGAAGCGAAGCGTTGAAAGGTGAGTTCCATAGGCTTGTGCGGGGTTGTTTGAGGGCCGGAGGCAATCACGCGAAAGTCATGTCTACCTGCCTTAGCAAGCTCACATCTGACTAGTGGCACTCATGTCAGTACAAGGGTTACTGACATTCGCGGTATATAATTACCTTCAATAAAAAACCTAGTACATACGACCATAGGGTGTGGAGAACAGGGCTTCCCGTCCGCTCAGCCGTACTTAAGCCACACGCCGGTAAGTTAGTAGTTAGGTGG